AATGATAAGATCAAAGCAGCCAGCCACCTTCCATGCTTAGAGGTCCACTTCCAGGGGCTAATCTGATTGGACTGACTCCAGGACACTGAGGGATCACTGTACTAGCAGGTGGGAGTCGTTAAGTTACTATGACACTGCTGGGTGTAGCATCTTCTGTCTTTAGATGAGAGGAGCCACTGACTATGTGGTTTGGGTAGAGTGAGTCTGTGCCCAGGGAGCTGGCTTTTGGAAGGCAGTCAGGCGAGGGAGAGGGCTCTGAGAGGGAACTGCGCTGGGAGAGCTTTAGGGCGTGGGCTCTGGTGGCTGTAGGGGCTACAACTTTGGCTCAATCCCAGCCTGTCTGGCTGCACCCTGAGTCACAGACGCCACCATAGTGGGCCCCTTGCTGGTGGCCCATGTGGGTGCCACAAACTCAAAGCAGGCACTCCCATGTGGTCTCCTTGGCCAACAAAGGGGCCCTAACCACAAATGGATGGGTGAGGCCTCGGGCCGAGCCACAGTGGGCAGCAGATTCTATTCACGAGCAGGGCTCTTATGACTCAGGAGTCAGGGTCTCTGCCTGGCTGGTGTGAAGGACGACTTTAATGGCATTTCACAAATCCCAAGTTACGAAGGACACAAAAAAGGAAATGTCTGGAATTCTCTAGCTCAAGCAATGGGGTCTGCCCAGAGGCAGGGAGAGCACCAAGGCATGAGAAAAAGGGTGCCCCAGTCTGGTGAGTCAGGGGGAGGGGCGGGGCAGAGACTCACAGAGTGGGGGTTGCTGCAGAAAGGGCTCTGATCAAACAGGATCAGCGTTACAGGGGGCAGGGGACACACACTCCTCTAGGACACTTGGGAGGGGCCGGTCTAAGGCACACACCCAGCGTTCACACCTGAGATGGGCCTGCTGCTGGGAATACCGTAGCTCCGGAGGCAAGGGGAACATGGGCGCCCTCCAGGGGCTGGAAGGAAGCCAGACACCAGTGTGATCTTCAGTTACAGCTGGTGACAAAATGCAAATTCCACAAAAGCACCTCCAAGGAACACTAAGTAGGAACCTGAGCTGTGGATTAATACAACTCAGTTCTTATTTTGTGCCTCTCCAGGCCTTTTTCCACTCTGAATGCAGGACTGGATGGGGGACAGGGTAGGGCAGATTGAGGGCACTGGTGGCAACAGTGAATGCCCTCCCTGTATCCCCGGCCCCTGCACTGAGACCTGAAGCTCCTCCCACCAAGCAGGGGTCTTGCTTCCCCATTCCCTGGAGTCTGAGCTAGCCTGGTGACACATATTACTAACTCACAGAAAACTTATCAGGAGCCAGTTCTGTGTCCAGGCTTCAAGAGCACTTAGGCTTCTGCTCTCTGGCAGGAGAACAAGCCTGGGCTGGACCAGCTGGTCACAAGGGCAGGTGCAAGCCTGGCCCAGACCAGAAGGCCTGGATGCCCTGCCCGCCAGTAGGCTGGGAACGACAGGAAAGGGCTGGTCTGAGCCACTCTGGTCGTGGTTTGCAGGCAGCACTAGCTGCATCCACTAACTGCAGTCTGCTCTGCCTAAAAGGCTTTGGTCAGACAGCATGAGAACTCCGCTCGGGTAACATCGCATTGCTGCAGGAAAACATGGCACAATGGGATGCTTCTGCCACCAAAGAAGGGCAGCTTACTCAAGACCTTGAGATGGCAGCAGCGGAAGAAAAGCAAAGCTTTGGGGGAAGGCTACACGGCAGGGCTGTGGCTTCCAGGGCTCCTGAGAGCACAGGTGCTTTAAGCATCAACCAGAACCAGACTGTGTAGGGCCTGCAATCTGCTGAGATGTCTCCACAAAAGACAAATGTGTATGTGGACTTGGGGTGGGGGGCGTCTTCTTTCAGCAGCATGTCACTGAATGATGGGCATTTTGGAGCAGCAAGCAGTGGCCGTGCCCAGGGTGGCATGCATGGCAGCTCAGGATCTGCCTTGGGGTCCTGTGGGAGCACACAGAGAAGAGCAGCAGTGGGACGGGGTGTGGTTGGGGAGGACTCATTAGAAATATAGAGAACCCTGCCACCAGGAGTGGATGCTGTCCCTACACCAACACTGCCCCCACCTGGGCACTGCATTGGCAGATTCAAAGATGAAATGGAAGCAAGTCTGTTTCCCACAAAGTATGAACACTAAGGGGAGGAAGGGAGCCTCGGGAAATCCCTGCAGGTGGGAGGTAGCAGTGGTGCACATTTCAGATGTGTGACACAGCAGCAGTGTTGAGCCCTAACTTTCTGACAGAAGCAGCCGTGTGTGAATTGTGCACCCTGACCGCCAGGACATGAGCAGCATGATCTCTTAGCGGGAGGATTCTTCGTTAAGTGTGGAGTGGCCTCCTGGCACCTGGCCTGGAGTGGACACAGCGCTATCCTCTTGCTTTGCTGTTCCCATTTACTCTCTTCCCAAAGGGAGCACAAACCGCCATGGTCGATGGCTGACACAGTGATGAGGGGCCCGCCTATAACTCTAAGTCAAAACACAGACTACGTTCTCAAAATATCACTTTTGCACAAGAAGTGCTGTTTCTTGCCATTGGGGAAGGGATCTTAATTTTGTAGTTGTGGCAAACTTCAGATGAACCAAACCCTCTTTGGAGAAGCTGTCTCAGTTCTAGTGAAAGATGGCCCAGGGCATAAGCTGTGGAGGGAACCAGCCTTACCCACGTACCTGAGTGAGCCTGGTAGCCTCTGACAGCAACTGTGCAAAAGAAACAAATTGGGGATTTTTTTTTAACTTCAGTTTCTCTTGTCACGGGACAAGAAGCTTCACAAAGTTTAATTTCTCTGTGAACCCTGACCATGGGAGGAGGGTGTACTGGTCACATCTTAAGAATGTCATATGCTGGGGCCATGCCGACACCCAAGAGCCGTCTTGTAACCCTATCCTGTGGGCCACGATGGACAAGATAAGTGGGCATGACTTGGCGGGAACAAGAGGAATCTTGGATGGTGTGGTCTTTTGCATACAGCAAAAACAGTAAACTAACTGTTGTGCTGTCCTGGCCCATTGCAGAAGTTACAGGGACACGTGTCCTGTTCATATGTGGGACAAAGAACTTGGTTTGGCCCTTTGACTCTGGTTTCTGAAAATAACCAAGCAATCAAGATGTCTTGTTTTCCACAACAGCCTGGCAAGTAGGGGCTACAGAGGCCCCAGACCTGGTGAAATCACTTCAGAAAGGAAGGGGGTCATGCATATTCATTGAGGTCTGAATGACTAGGGCACCCTAAACCTTGCAGCACTCTCTTTGGGGCCTCCTGGATTGGTGAGAACATCCATGCAGGGGAGAGGGCCTGGCATGTCCCTGGGGACAGTGGTACCATGTGACGGGAACTCTCCCAGACCTTGCCTGATGCGTCTCTACACTTGTACCTTTTCTGGTTATAATAAATGGATAACCATAGGTATAGGTAACAGTCTGTGAATTCTGTGATCTGTTCTAGAGAATTAACATACCCATGGGGCAGTGAGCAGCAGGGGCTAGCAGTATAGACGATTTGTGTAGACCCAGCTTTGAGTGGCTAGGTGACAGACAAAGGCTGCACGGCAGTCGATAAAGGATAGAGTCCTCCTAGCTTGTGACCTAGTCCAAGGGGACAACAGAGAGAGAGAGGCCAGCTGGCCAGACTGCTCCTCGATGACCCGGCCTCAGATGGCCAGGGATGTTTTCACCTGGCTCAGGACAGCC